GATGCCTAAATGATATGATTCTGAAATTTTTTCCTAATGTTCTATATGTAACAAACTCCATAATACAAAAAATCTGGAAGGGTTTTCTTTTTTAAATCAAATTTATTAGCATTTAAAGTCTTACAATAATAAATCAAAAAAATATAAAAATCACACAAAAACCATGGAAATAATTAAATTACAATAAGAAAAATTAAAACTAAAAGGTAATAAGAATTAATAATCTTTGATATTTACAAAAAAAGAATTAAAAATCTTTGACAGATAACAAATTAGTTCTCTGGTTTAAAGTTTGCCCAGCTATCTTTAATGCTCTGGTTATCAATTTCACTGATTTTGTATTGTCTTCCTGTAACAGTTGTTGGAATATTAATCATTAGCAATATGTTTGTTGATGGAACCCAGCAAACATCATCTCTAGAAGGCCAACAATATGACCTTGAAGGGTAATATGGATGCATGAAACTAACTTTAAAGTCTTTGTTTTCAACATCAATTTCCTCAACTAGTCCGATCCATGGATTGTTATCATATATCAAACATACAAATACACCAATGCTTATATTAGACAAGAATTCTTTAATAATCTCATCAGTTTGAAAATTAAAAACAAATGAATACTCCAATTGTTCAGAAACAATTTTAGTTCCAATTTTTGTGTTACTTATTGGAACGAAATTGTGATAGCTACGAGTGCCTGGTAACGCTTTTGCAGTTGTATATCTTTTCTCCATTTCACTTCGAATTATCGTGTTTGACTCCTTGGATATGTAATAAAAATTAATTTCTATGATTTCATTTTGGCAAAAATTAAACATTGCAGACGCTGTAAGAATATGATTTGTTGTTGTTCGATGAAGGCTAGCAATTGAAGTCAGCCTTTTTACAGTCCCACCAATACCATCACAGGGTGATTTACCGTGACTTGTTGCAAAGAAAGACCAGGTACATCTCATAGCAAAATCTTGTTCATGGTGGCATATATTTACGAAGTGTTTGCAGTTCTTGTACTGGCCAGCACACCCATCTGAATAATAATGGACACTTTCTATTTGATGAGAAATATTGCTTTTAATATGTTCAATTGTTAGCTTCATCACATGATAAACCATATCAACATCATGCAGTAAATCATCTGAGATGAAACATATTGAATCACATTTGAGGACATTATTTTCCTTATAATAAATTACTGTTGGATGCAATGTGGCTTGAATTTTGTTCCAATGAAAACTTTGTATTTCGTCTTGTACAACAAACTTGTAATTTTCTGAGAAATCACAAAGGACAATGACCTCAGTGCTACTTAACTCATTTTTTAACTTTCTTAAAGAAGCAGCTTGACTTTTTGCAATGTAAGAATGAACAGTAAGTTTTTGTAACTTATTTTTCAAAGTATTAATAAAGCTACTTGTCGTTTCTGTTAGACTTAATAGTTCAGATTGGTCTGTTGTTTTCCATTGTTTGTAATCTATACAATAATCATCATCTTCATCAATATCGTCTTGAGAGTACAACTCATTTTCAAGATAATGTACCAATGTAGAATCTTCTGGGCACAAAGGGCAACGATGTATCATGCAAGTCTTGTTTGCCCTACTACAAACAAGCATATCAATAAGCTCGTGATAATCCTTTGATAATTTAACTGCACTAATCATTAACTTAACATTTTGATGGTAGGTGCACACATATACTGTATGCGTACCAGATGCTCCAACTGTAATGCACCATTTTGGACGATGTGAGCAAAAGTTAGAAAAACAGCTCTTTATATCTGGATAACAGGTTTTAAACTTTGTATATAGCTCTTTTAGATTTGAAAGAATCAAACGCTTTTGCATATGAGATCTTCGAGCTATACTAACAAAATCTTTTTTACCAGACATTAGCCTGCTATTTTCATCATTACAATAAAATTCAATAATTTTATCTACTGTGTCTTGAGGTATTTCCTTTCCTTTTTTTTTTCAGGAAAAGATAAAATACCATTTTTCTGCAGCAATTTGCGTGATATCTGCACCATAAAATTAGTAACATTAAATTCTTTTTCTATATCTTTGTGAGACCAAGAAATTGGAACCAGTGTTAGTAGTTGGATTTTCTGATTACGATTGGAAATTAACATTTTTTCTTTGATTTTTCTAATAAGTATATCCATGTCATTTGCTTTACCTTTAACTTCCTTAGATAATTTATTGTAGGAATCTTCTTTACTTAACTGTTCAGGATCTATATTTAAAGTCCTTGCAATACCTAACTTTACTGTTTTTTGAATATGTAACAATTTTTTTTTGCCAAGAGCAACTCTTGAGTGACTATTTACAGCATGCATTTTGAGAGGACTTATGTTCATAGTCGTCAAAGTAGAATTAAGATTTTTTTTTAACAATTCATTTATATTAAGTTCATTATCTTCATCTTCATAAATCTGGCTACAAGTTGGTTCTCTTTGCTTATCATCCTTAAATGATATCAATTTAATCATACACGAGGGACATATCTTTTCTCCAGGAATAGCATTAATACCAATATTTTTTAATTTCCCAGCAAGTTGCATATTAATTTCTTTACATCCTCCTAAAAACATGAGTGATAATTACTGCTTCAGTGAGTGTTTTGCAAAAATATATATAATTTATAAATAATTACAATAAAGTTTTAAAAAAGTTTCATAGTTAAGTAATAATACCTTTTCTTCTTTTTTCATTGTGTGAATTGAATGGATCACAGCAAGTTATGTGGATTGTAGAGTAACGTTTAAAATAAACATATTCATGGTGTAGGCAAACCGTTGCATTTTCATCAAAGTGAATGCCAAAACGACTAATTATCAAGTCTTTTTCCACATCATTAAGACTTGAAACTTTCTTGATATCATGAGATTTTACATAAGTTTGTTTGTTACAAATTTCTTTTTTTATTATTCCAATTGAACATCTTTCTTTATCATTCATATTGTTATATTATTTTTTAGATCTGTAAGAAACAATTTTAAAATAATTATTGTTTAAAGATTTGAAAATAGAAAATCCATTAGCTATAAAACATAATGATTGCATAAAATAAAGATCTTTTATGTGAAATGCAAACAAGTTCATATATTAGAACTGTACCTTACACAGCAAGATTCTAAAAATCTTTTTTAAAAATGCAAAAAATTTATGCAAATTGTTTTTTTCATTATTAAATAACAGTTTTTCTTAATTTTTTAAATAAAACTTTAAATACAAATAAATCTAATTTAAAAAAGAAAACCCTTCCAGATTTTTTGTATTCTGAAGTTTGATACATATAGAACATTAGGAAAAAATTTCAGAATTTTATCTTTTAGGCATCTTGAGATAAACATTTTTTTGTACAGGGCATCAAAAAACTTACAAAAAGTGTTACACCATTTTGAAATTGAATTTTTGTATAGAAGCTTGAGTTTTTGTGTGTTTTAGCCATCATTTTTAAGTTCCTCACCATAAAAAATAGTTAGGTAGAAATTTTGACCACTATTAAACAAGTATTTCATAAGTTAAAGCTAATTGTGTGGTACAATAAGCTTAAAAAATAAATGGCGCTGAAAAAAAAAGTCAAAACAGAGGTTGGGACCAAGTATCAATATCTCTGAAACCGTAAAGAGTCAGACACTAAAATTTGGAGTGAAGTTTTCTTTTATTAAATCAAGCTTGTATTCCAAAAATCAGCAAAATCTGAGATGGCATGGTGCCAAGCATAAATTGAATTGAGCTGGAATGACCCTGTTGTTAAATTAAATTTGTTGGTAAAGTACACTGGAAATAACAGCAACAAAAAAATCAAAAATAAAACTTGCAATAAAACGCATCATTTATGTTATATTTGCGTAAAAAATAAAAAAGAATAACTGAATACCTTAGTTCAAAAACAATGTAGTTTCATTTTTACAAATTATTCAGGAGAATAAAAAAAAATGGATTAACTTTTAATGTAAGGAATAGATATCATTCAGTCAGATCCTTAGTTAAATGGCATAAGGAGTGCTCTAACTTAAATTATTTTTGCATTAACTGTTACAGCATCTTATAATTATTAATATTCTGTTAAAATCTAAAAATCAACCAAATGTAAAGTTACATCGTTTTAAACTATATTTACATTAATTTTTATAATTTTTTAAAATTCTATTTACAAATTTATGAATACAAAAAAATGAAAAATGAACACTGAGAAATTATTGCATGAAATTTAAAATTTTTCAATGAATATAAATTTTGATAAAAATGCTCCCATGTTAAGGGTTGGGTGGGCACAAATTTCAGGGGTTATTTGTTCCCAAGCTTGAATCACTATTATTCTTTGCAAAACATTCTCATTTGACATAAGCATGAATTTGACATAAGGCATTAGGCAACCCTAATTCAGAGGGCTGTATATATATATATATATATATATATATATATATATATATATATATATATATATATATATATATATATATATATATATATATATATTTATATATATATATATATATATATATATATATATATATATATATATATATATATATATATCAGAGGTGTACACTGAATTTTTATATGTATAAGTTTAGACACTTACAGGGATTGTGCAAACTCCAAACTTTTGTATATTCATGCTTATGGCGAATGATTTGCATAGATTTGAATGTTTTGCAAAGAATAGCGGTGATTGAAGCTTGGGAACAAAAACCCCTATTTTTTGGAATAATATCCTAATTCAGATATAAATTTAAAGAAATAAGAATTTAAAAATATTTCAGGCATTTTCTTGTTAAAATCAAAGAACAAAATTACAACTAAATAACTTTTTAATTTCTATAATTAATTTTGGAAATAATTAAGAAAAATTATAAAGTGATTAAGCTTGGAAACAACCTTCTTGAGTAATAACTCAAAACAGCAAATTAGAGTTTTTTAAGAAATAGTCTATCAATAAAACCTGATCATAAAATATTTTTTTTAACAAAAACATTAAAATTAAAAACTTACATTCACATATTAAACAATATGGTCTTTCATCAGTTCTAGATCCACGATGTTGCACTCCACCATAGTTTTCATTAGTTTGTGTTGGACAATCTTCAGTATCATGGATATCAAATACATCACAAATGTCACAAAATGGTCGCATTCGCAAATTTGGTTTAATTGGACTTCTGTAAAATAGTGTGCATATATATATATATAAATATATACTTATATATATATATATATATATATATATATATATATATATATATATATATATATATATATATATATATATATATATATATATATATATATATATATATATATATATATATATATATATATATATATATACAAGAGTAAGTGTAAAAATAATCTTAATATAATTGCTAGATTCAATGTTCAATGTTCAACATCTTTTCACTTTCGATTTAGTAAATAAGTTTTAATTATTTACTTGGCTTTTCTGAATTTGAAAGTGCGCATTCTCAAAATGCACGCGGTTGATAGAGAAAGATCTATCAAGCGAGTTAAAACTTTTTACCTTTTGGAATTTAATTAATTTAATACCTTTATCTAAAAAACTTAATAAAAAAGTTGTATGTTAATTTTTTGTTAAAATATCTTTTAATATGTTGCTGATATATAAATCATAAGATTATTGTGTAATTTAAACAAAGATTTCTTATGTCATTTTTTATAAAAATTATTTGTGTGTACAATTTAGAGAAGTAAAAAAAAAAATTGTATATAAAAGATTCTTTTAAGATTTTAAGCAAATAATTTGAACTCAAACGAAGAGTGTGGTTAAGGAAGTTGAAAATAGTTGTCACAGAAACGCAAGAAACAGGAATAGGCGAGATGAAACAATAGTTGACTAGATATGTTAGATATGCTGCAAGACACAAAAGAATGCATTGTAAAGCAAGAAGTAATACTATAATTATTTAGGAAAAATGAATTACATTTGTCAGCATAATGGTGGTAAGTAATTTCCTGATGAAAAAAGTTTTTTATGTTGCCATAATGGAAAAGTAGTTTTGCCTTTTCATTATTTCAGCAAGATTTACAAGATTTATTTAAAGGAAATTATGTAGATTGAAATGCTAATCTGAATTTTTTAAAATGTATTCGAAATTATATTGCCTGCTTTTCTTTTGCCTGATACACAGCAAATGGAGTTCAACCTATAAATCATAGGCTACCATGTTTTAGAATATGTGATTAAGTTTTTCATCGTATAGGTAATCTTAGGCCAGATCAAGATGTTCTGCAGACTTATTGTCAACTATACATCTATAATCCACTTGCAGCAGTAAGTTTTAGAACATGAAAACCTGGTAATGATCTTTGCTTAAATGATTTAATGTTTCAATTGCAAATTTTTATTAGTGAAGAGAACCCAATTGAAATTTAAAAACATAGCTGAAGTGGAAGATAACGAAATTCATCAGGCAGATATAGAAGGTCGCTCGTCTCAGTTAAAATGAGAACTATAATCTCCCTTCACCTAATGAAGTTGTATTTGTTGGTGAAGATGATGCCCACCTGCTTCCAGGGAAGTTGTTGATTACCCAAGAAGTAATCCTCTTAAAACTATATTAAGTATGTCTGCCAACTTAGATAGTATGGTTTATCCTCTATATATTTCAAGGGGTGATTCTATTGAAATAATCAAATAACAGGGCTAACAACACAGCATGCGCCCCCCCCACCCACCCCCTCACACACTTTTTTTCTAAAGACATTTTATTTTTAATACTTTCAATTTTTTTTTTATTTAAATAATATTTTATTCAACTATAAGGGATATTATATTATATTTTATTTTATTTAATAAGATTTATAATAATAAGATATATCAAAGATGCTTATTGAATTTTATTAATTTTTCATTAATTCAAAACAATTTTTCAGGCATTTGCAAAGTGCGCACAAATTAATGATAACTAATATGGAATAACCTTATGACTGTAAACTGTTATCTATTAATACAAAGTAGTGAATTTTTTATACCACCTAATTGTCTTTCTTAGGCAATGATAATACAATACCATTTGATCTACCCTATCTACTACTACTATTTACTTCTGAAATTGATTGTAATCTTTAATGTTTGGGTTTCTTTTTCTTCTCTCCTTTCCTGTTTGTCACTTCAATCATTTGCAATGAATGCAAGTTGAAAATAATTACCACAACTCTTTTGTCCTTCCACTTAGCAACCATTACATCCTCTCTGCTTCTGCTTATAACGTCTCCCTGTTGCAGTTTACCTTTTGTACAATCTTGAATTTGACTTTCGGCCAGTTTTTAACGTACTAAATATGTATGTTTTTTGATTTATCATGTGCTTTGTTAATTTAAAGGAATTGTAGATATTATTGGTGTACATATAATTGTAGATATTATTGGTGTACATATAACAACCTCAGAAACTTTTTCATTTAATCTAAAACAATAGCTATGGTTTGACCCAGAAAATGTTTAAAGAGGGTTGTCTTACCAGAGTAGATTTTTACTTATGATACAATACCATTTGTTTCGCAAAGCTCATAGAACTTGATATCATACATATCTCTTTTATTTTTCACACAGTGCCTGAATAGAAGACGTTCCAAAGAAGACTTCCAAAGCTCCCTGGCTATTTCAGTATGATGTCAATACATACATATATATATATATATATATATATATATATATATATATATATATATATATATATATATATATATATATATATATATATATATATATATATATATATATATATGTATATGTATGTATATATACATATATATATATATATATATACATATATATATGTGTGTATATATATATATATATATATATATATATATATATATATATATATATATATATATATATATATATATATATATATATATATATATACATCATTTGTAATAACATGTAATAATATGTTATTACAAACTTACAAAATAAAGTAAAATAATGATATAATTACATAGTATCATTGAGGTCATAATGAATATCATCGCCATATGTTAATACTTTAATTTTTTCGTCCAGCTCTTTGTTTTTTTTCTGAAAATTTTGAAAAAATTATAAATGCTTTTTTTTTTAACTAATGGAAAATCTTAAAAAAAAAACAATATAAATAAAAACCTGTAAGTCCACAATAATTGAATTTAAAAATTCTACCTAAAAAAAAAATTAAAAAGTAAACAGTTCTATTTTATTTTAATAGATAGAAAGTACCTTACTAAGAGTATATTACATATTCTACTCTTTTTAGTTTGAAGATTGACTTGATAATCATTTTTTTAGACTCAGTAATAACCCGAAATGTCTTGGTTTTACAAATTTTCATTATTGCTTATTATTAAAGATGATACTTATTATTGCTAAAACAATAATAGAAATGTAAAATTTGACATAAGTTGCTTATACGTTTTCATATTTGTTTTGATGTAAAACTATTAACTTCATCTACAGCAATATTTGATTTATTTAATTATTTAATTATTTATTATTATGAAATAGAGTAAAAAAAGACTCAAACAAAATTAAAAATAAAATAGAATTGAGGAAAAAAAGAAATAATATTCTTTTACTAAAAATAACATTTTTGCCAAAATTTAAGGATAGAAAATATTGCATTAAAATATTTCTCTCAATTTTAATAAATAAAATATTGCATATATAAATGTTATATATATATATAAATGTTATATATATATATAAATGTTATATATATATATATATATATATATATATATATATATATATATATATATATATATATATATACATATATATGTATATATATATATATATATATATATATATATATATATATATATATATATATATATATATATATATATATATATATATATATATATATATATATTACCTCAGCATCTTTCTCATTTTTTGCTTTTGTAACTTTATTAAGCAGTTCTTTTAGTTCTTCTACATGTGATGAATCTATAACATAATATAAATATCATCATCATCATCATCATCATCATCATCATCATCATCATCATCATCATCATCATCATCATCATCATCATCATCATCATCATCATCATCATCATCATCATCATCATCATCATCATCATCATCGTCATCGTCATCATCATCATAACCATCATTGTCAATATATTTTTTGTTTATTAATTTACCTGTTTTTTCATTATTATTTTTCAACTTGGCAGTTAATGACGTGTTAGCTACTTCTAGCATTTGGAGCTATTAATAAATTTGAAAAATCTTTTTAAAACTTTCTATAACAGTATCTGTAATAAAGCTTTACAAAAAAATTCAATACTCAATAACATATCCAGCAATTATTTGTGACACCAGTAAAAAAAGAATTGTTTCAAAAAAAAATTATTTTCAAAACGATTGATTCAGAAAAACATGAAAAGGGGTGTGACAAGGAGTTGATGTGGAAAAAAGGTGTGACAAAGCGTTGATGTGAGAAGAAAAACACTATACAAATAAAAGTTTTTATCAGAGTATGAAAGGGCAGATAAAGTAAAGTCATAAATGAGCCAAGCAAGAGTTTTAGTTTACGAAACTAAAGCCATTTTAACAACTAAATTTTGATCCATATGTAATTAATTTAGTTTTTTTGTTCAGTAAATTTTCCTGATCCAAATGAGTAATAATTTCAACTTTTTTTCAAGCTTATGAAGAAAACTAGTATGATTAGTATTTAAAACCTTTAACATGTCATGAGCAATAGCCCTTGCTTTGCCACCTCGATTTAATGTTAAACCTCCAATTAATCTGTTAAAACAGTTAACGAGTCAGCATTAGAAAAGGATTAAAATCTGAATTGATTGTCATAGAGTAAGTTGTAAGATTAAGAACTTGCTAGATAGAATATTGGACAAGAGTTAAAAGATCAGACTGTTTTCTAGAGTTTTTAAAATTGGCAGCCACAAATGCCACTTTACAGCATACAGAAAAACAAGATTCAGTTAAATACTTTTCTAAGACGTAAACCCTTTATTTGAAAGTCACTTTATTTTCATTCTTCAGTGTAAAAGCCTTAAATAAGCCTTAAAAGATCAATGCATCCAACTCTTATGTTTAATGTTTAATTACAACATAAAATACTTTGTTTCTCTTACAGTTATTCTGAGCCAATATTTAAATTTTTTTGTTAAAAGTTTTTCTTCTCAAACATTATATTCTCAAAGAACAATTTCTTCTTAAAGAGCAAAATAGCATTAATTTGACTCAAGTTACAAACTTGACTTCTCTTATAAAAGGATCTTTTTTATAATATCTTGTGTATCAAATGTAAATGTTTTATTTATGCTTACATAACAAAGAGAACTTATATAACAATTGAATTTTTAAACTGCAGAAAGCTGGAATAGATTGTTTTAGGCAATGCCTAAACTGGTGTCAAAGTCTGCTCAAATACGCGACAAATAATGTACCTTAAATATATTCTTACTTGTTTATGAAGAGTTTCTATCTCATTTTCTTCAACATTTTTGTGAATTACATTTTGTTCTCTTTCAAGGTTTAACTGATTACGTAGAACTTCAAGTTCATTATTGTAGTTTGCTTCTTGTTCACATTTCTAATTTTAAATGTTCAAAAGTATTTATAAATGTTAAGAGCATAAATATAGCATATAAGATTTTTTTATAACACATTTTATAATAACTTCATTACTTTTTATTTAAGTAATAAATAAATATTTTTTATTTAAAAGTAATAGATAAAAATAATAAAAATTTGAAAAACATTAAAAAAAAACTATGAAAATAATCTTAAAGGAAAATCATTAAAGGAAACCCAAAAAGGAAAAACAATCACTTGCATTGAGATACTTAAACAAAAACAATCACTTGCATTGAGATACTTAAACAAAAATAATCACTTGCATTGAGATACTTAAACAAAAACATTCACTTGCATTGAGATACTTAAACAAAAATAATCACTTGCATTGAGATACTTAAACAAAAACATTCACTTGCATTGAGATACTTAAACAAAAACAATCACTTGCATTGAGATAATTAAACAAAAACAATCACTTCCATTGAGATATTTAAACAAAAACAATCACTTTCATTGAGATACTTAACGAAAACAATAACTTGCATTTTGAGAAAAATCTTTAAAAAAATCTTTTATAACAATAAAACTGGATCTATAAACTTCAAAACAAAATCATTAAAAAAAACAAGGTTTGTAATAAACAATAAATCAAAAAAGATCAATAACAAACAATAAACTCGTTAAACCAAAAAATCTAAATAACTAGATCAGACTCGTTACTAACCAATCACACGATTAGTACTAGTGAACCAAACTCAGTACTAACCAACCACACGATTAGTACTAGTGAACCAAACTCAGTACTAACCAACTACACTAAATCAGTACTAATGAACCAAACTCAGTACTAACCAACTACACTAAATCAGTACTAGTGAAACAAACTCAGTACTAACCAACTACACTAAATCAGTACTAGTGAACCAAACTCAGTACTAACCAACTACACTAGTTCACTACTAGTGAACCAAACTCAGTACTAACCAACTACACTAGATCAGTACTAATGAACCAAACTCAGTACTAACCAAACACACTAGATCAGTAATAATGAGCCATACTCACAAAGAAATCAATGTATATCCAAACTTTATATTGTCTTTTAAAAATTACTAATTTATAGACTAAATAATTAAATTATTACAAACTTTTAAATTTATTAACTGTCATAAATAAAAACTTTCAGAAGTTTAACAGAAATCATTTGAATACTGATTACTACTGGTAAGGAAAATCTAAAATCATTATTATCATCTTTAAAACTTATCTAAGCGGTGTCATAAAAGTTTTTGTTAAAACATTTTAATAAATAACTGAATAATCACTATAATAACTTATTATTGAACAAAATGTAAAAATTTGAAGAAATATAGAAAAAAAAAAAAAGCAAAATAACCTGGTTAAATTCAGCTTGCAGTTTATCTTTTTTCATGACTATTTCATTAAGCTGTTTGTTTATAACTTCATAATCTTTTTCTGCTTTCTTTTGGTTGCTATGTGCAATACTTAACTGTTCTTCATAATCTTTTTCTGCTTTCTTTTGGTTGCTATGTGCAATACTTAACTGCTCTTTTAAAGAAGACCTAAAAGTAAAATTTAAAAGTTTATTTAAAATTGAAAGTATTTTTAAAATTTAAAGTAATCAGAATATATTAGTTATGAAGATTAGATTAGATATGACATAAGTAATGCAAATTTTAATATAATAACATTGATAATTATTAATTAATAAAATTATAAAGTAAATAATTACTTTTCCCTTCCATTTTATTTGACATAACATTTTTGATTTTTTAGATTATTTTTATTCCCCCTTATATTCACTAATAACCAAGCTCTGATTAATTTGATCTAACTTTTTTTAAACATCAGTTCTTTTTATTTTTAAGACTTATAATTAGGATTTATTTTAAACTAATTTATATATAACATAAAAAGAAAATTAAAACTAAAACAATAATTGCTTCTAGTAACTACAACTATAATCTGTACTTTCACCTGCTGAAAAACAGGGGGTGGGTGGTGGTACGAAGTTTGTTCATTCTTTATTTTTTTCCAAGACCCCCCTCCTCCTTCACCCCCAAATGATTAATGCCCCGGGTTTATTAAAAAAATGTAAAACAGTTTTGCAACTTTTTTTTACTGTAAGAAATCATTTTATTTTTGTTGCTCAAGTGTTAAAAAACTAATGCATATAGAAAAACTGTCAAAACATAAGTTTTTCCATTATGGGTAAAAATTTTAAAAACCAATTTTTATTTATGTTATTTATGTTATGTATTTATTTATGTATATTTAAAAAGAAAAGTGTTTAAGTATGAACTTTCTTCTCAAATGGAAAACTTTTGTGAGTTATGTTCCATTGTTGATTACTTATAGTTAGTGTTAATTTTATGTGCTGATTCCATGAAGATGTCGAAAAATATGTTCATAAAGAGGATAAATATTCTTTAGCTATTTGCATGTTTTTAAAAGTTTAAATTATTTTTTGATTCCCTTCTTTTATTGAAATAATAAAAATAATAACAACTCACATCATTTATAAAAAATAATAAAAACTCACAGCTGAGATTCAAGTAAAGATGCTGAAGTAGAATTATCTTTAATTTGTTTACGAAGAAACTCAGCCTCTTCTTCCATTTTTTTTAATGCAAGATTTGACTCTTCTACTTTATTATGCAATTCTTCATTAACTTGCAAAAGAGCATCATATTTTTTGAAAGATTCTTCAATTTGGAACTCATGCTGTACTTTTAACTCATTAAGCTGATGCATATTGTCATCATGCGATGTCTGGAGAACATTTTGTTGTAAAATCTTGATATCAGAATTTAGCTTTTGGATTTCATTCTCTTTCAACAACAACAACTTCTTGGCATTTTCCAATTCAATCTTGTAATCATAACATTAAATAAAAAAATATTAAAAAATTATAATAAATTTAATATATATATATATATATATATATATATATATATATATATATATATATATATATATATATATATATATATATATATATATATATATATATATATATATATATGTATATATATATGTATATATATATGTATGTATATATATATATATATATATATATATATATATATATATATATATATATATATATATATATATATATATGTATATATATATATATGTATATATATATATATGTATATATATATATATATATGTATATATATATATATATATATATATATATATATATATACATATATATATATATATATATATATATATATATATATATATATATATATATATATATATATATATATATATATATATATATATATATATGTATATATATATATGTATATATATATATATATATGTATATATATATATATATATATATATATATATATACATATATATATTTATTTATGTATTGTATATATATGTATAAATTTTTTAATATTTAATTACACAGTTTCAAATATTTTTTTTTAATCCTTTTTTGGCATTTTTCGACCCTATGTTTGCCATCCTTTAACAATATTGAATTCATTTTTTTTTCTATATAAACTCTCACAATGACTAATATAAAAATAAAATTAAGCACTCTAACTTTGCAAAATTTATAGAAAAGTCAAAAAGTAGACAAAAAAAAAAAAAAAAGATTTTCCCTATTTCATGGATTGCGGCAACTTTTTTGGGTGATTGAGATAGATAACTTGCAGACAAAAAGCAAACTTCAAACTTGGGTTTGTTTATACTTATATCAAATAAGGATGCTTCGAAAAAATTGGAGTGATTGGAGTTTGGCAACTACAAAAACCCCAAAACTTGGTAAAAAGCTAAATTATTATTAAATGAAATTTGAAATCTGTCAATGAATTTAAATTTAGTTTAGAATAACAATAGCATTAAACTTGGTAACTTAATGCCAGATTTGGGGCTAAGGGCACAGATTTTAGGGTTTTGGTAGTTCCTAGGCTCCAATCACTGAGATTTTCTCAATCACCAAATAAAGCTTTGATACTACTGCTTCCATCATCGGAAAGCCAAGGAGAACAAGAATGGCGTATAAGCTGGGGCGGCCACTACTTGTCCTTGCCTGTAGATGCCATATTTTGGAAAGATATATTATCCACTTTAATATGATATATCTAGGTAGTAAAACGCCTGGTCCAGAGAACCAGCTCTTTAAATGCCTAAAATCTGAAAAAAAAAGCGTTGTATTACCTTAAAATGTATATACAATTGGAAACCATTCCAAATTTATCAGAAGAAAACATGTTGATTTTAATTTTATTTTTTCACCCTCCTCCTCCAGCAGCTCAAAAGGAAGGTATATTAATAGGGAAGGGTAAATCAAACTACCTCTATATTCATCTCTAAGTTTAACATCGAAAATAATATAATATATTATAATAGCTTATTTATAATAGTATTTAGCTAGCTAGTATTTTAGCTATTTTGTAATCAAAAATACTATAGAAGTACAGGGGTCGCAACAGCTTATTTTGGTGATTAAGATAGATAACTTTCAGACATGAGCAATCTTCAATTTCTGGTATGTTTATACATATATCAAACTAGGATGCTTTAAAGAAAATCGGAGTGATTGGAGCCTGGGAACTAAAAAACCCCAAAACTTGTGCCCCAGCCCCAAATGTGAGGGCAATAAGTTACCAAGTTTTATACAATTGTTATTTCAAACTAAATTTATACTCATCGACAGATTTCAAATTTCATTTAATAATATTGTAGCATTCGAAAATTATGACTATGTAAAGTTTCCACCCTCCCCAAAATGAGGGGGTTAAGTTATCAAATAAATTAAATTAATATTAAGTAGTTATAGCAAATTATTTACTTTAACTACTGCAACTTCAAAAGTTAAAAAATAAAAACAAAAGTTAAAAACAAAACGTTGCAGTTAAAGTGCACAAAACATAAAAGGAATAACTTTCTGAGCACCATAGCTTAAGTAGCATACTGTCAGTCTAGTAATCAGGGCTGCATGTTATATTTGAGAAATATCAGCATTACTAATATTTCTGGTTTTAGGTGAACCCTGCAATCACTCATCATTAACCCACACACTGAAAACACTCTTTGACTGGCAGTACTTGAAGCAATATTACCCAACAACTTTCTAGCAATTAATGCCATCGTCAGAAACTTATGTTCGCAGGTATTGTCTTTTCAGAATTGCAATGCATCACATGCTGTCACAAGCAGTGCTAAGTATTTGTCAAATTCATGTCTAGTGCCATTTATGTCAGTCTTAGACAATGAAGTGACAGTTTACAACAAGCTGCTCCATCTGTCATCAATTTATCCAAAACCTTTTTAGTCCATTTACAAGTTAATTTACTGTTACTCATTGTTACTAAATTATTGTGTAATTACTATAATCACTAATTACAAAGTTATGAATAAAAACTCAAAACCAACGATGCCTCACTATAACAAATGTTTACAAACAACATTTTGGTTTTAGTTGTTATGTATTGTATTATGTTATGTTATGCATTTTTTTATGTATTGTAGACTTAGTTATGTATTATGTTATGTATTATGTTATGCATTGTAGACTTATGTTACATATTATGTTACAAGGAAACATGTTTATGTCTTGTATGTCCATGCATGAGTATTTTATTTTAGACAACTTGGTCACAGCCGTTTGCAAGTTTTATTATATTAGGTGTTGCGGAAAACAAAATAAAGTTTCAAAAATAATAGAAAGCAAAACTAACAAAATAGGAAACTAATTTTTTTCAGCAACGCTTAATATAATATAAATTAGTAAAAACACTTATTTCATTTTCTTTGACAGCTTACTTCCTGATGAACCTACTGATAGAGAAACAAGCTGTCAAAGAAAATTAGATGTGTTTTTACTAATTTATTATTGCTCTCACACCCTAGTGGAAATACTTCTTACGAAAAAAAAAGTACACCAGAAATGGATTACATTTTCAAAACCAATGTTCTGTTATTTTAAAACCAATGTTCTGTTATGACCTAGATTTTGAAAATATTCTGTCAATATCTAAAAAAATAAAAGGGGGTTAAATAAGCTGGTCCAGAATTTTTAGTGTTAAAGATTAATAATTTCCAGAAATGGTGCTTTCATAAAATTTTGTAATAATCATACTGATGCAAAAAAATAATGTTTTAGAAAAAATTGCAATGATTGGAGACTGAAAACAATATTAAACCTAAAATTAAAAATTTTTTTTTTAATATCTTTAACTAGGTTAAAAATAATGGACAGATTTAAAATTTCATACAAAAATCTCTTTTGGTTAAAAAGTTATAATTGTTTTTAGTTTTTTATTCCCCAATTAACAAAAAATAACTTTAAAAGGTCACAACTTTTAAACGGCATATTTTTTTGAAATGATATTTTAAATTTGTCGATAATTTTTGATTCTAAATAAATATGAAAAGAAAAAATATTCATTATCCTTCAATTAGAGTTTTAATATGATTGGGTCCGATCACTGGGGCACAAATAAAAAGATTTTATTTGTTTGTTGTGGTTTTTAGTGATATTTATTATAACAAGTTAATAATAACTGTTTCATATTTTACAAACTAACTTTTCACAATAAATCATATATAAAATTTTTTAAATATTCTTCTGGATGTTTTACCAAAGCCAGCTTATAAAATGTTTTAAATGTGAAATAATAATTAATATTTAAATATTTAAAGCACAACTAAACGATATTACAAACCTAACAAAATACAAATTACAATAATGCATAAAAATCAAAATTCATTAAAACTAAAAGTGGTTTTTAATAACCAATTTCAAATATTTTAGCAATAAAGAATGATTTTGAGGGCTATTTAACTTGGCGTGATACAAATTAAAACTATTGTTTTAATTTGTATCACGCCAAGTTAAATAGCCCTCAAAATCATTCTTTATTGCTAAAATATTTGAAATTGGTTATTAAAAACCACTTTTAGTTTTAATGAATTTTGATTTTTATGCATTATTGTAATTTGTATTTTGTTAGGTTTGTAATATCGTTTAGTTGTGCTTTAAATATTTAAATATTAATTATTATTTCACCTTTGAAATAATAATTAATATTTAAATTTTTAAACTAGTCACATTCAAAGTAGGAAAAGTTGATTTAATTTGCTTTGAAAAAAGAAAAAATTTAAGTAAAATACAATAAGGAAGTGTAGTTTTATTGAGAGTTTAAAAAAATTTCATTGACAATATTAATTTAAATGATAACCGTTTTCCGAATAGAATTTGTGGAAGATGTCAAACTAACTTAGTAAAAATGAAAAAAGTTAACACCAATATAGTTTTATGTAAACCATTTGATTTCTCTAAGATCAAAGAAACTATTCTTACTAGAAACCAACAGTTTTGCCAATGCGATAATTGCCTTACTGCTTGTTGTAATTTAACACGTGGATCAAATATAGAAAAAAGAAAAAGTCCCAAACTCAACATGAAAGTTTTACCCTCTCCTGGACCACTTAAAGTTTGTAAAAGATGTTTAGATGTTATTGGACCAGGATTAGCCCACACCTGTTGTATTACAAAGAGAAGAGAAAACTTAATGAAGCAACTAGATGAAGGTAAAAAAATATTAATTTCATTATTAAGTTGCTATTAAAACTAAATTATAATAATAATTCCAAAGTAATTAAAATTTTATATTGTAGATTTTTATTTAGCGATAGAGGTGTCGAATTGCAATGTCCCAAAACACTTAAACAAAAGTTTAAAAAACAAGGCAATTTAATTAAGGTTGCAACGAGCAGAACTTCAATTAGTATACAAAGACCAAAAACTTCTTCCAAAGGGTTGTTTACTGATTCACCGATACCTACAAATGAAGTGAACAAATTAAAAAATGCATGTAGCCTCAGTAACACAC